CTCGTGCTCCATATTGTACAACTACAATAACATATGAAGGGCGGAGAAAGAAGGAAAGAAAATCCTGAAAATTTTCAACAGGAAATATGTCTATTTACAGCAGTTACTCACAAATAGCTAAGATCTCCAATAAGTTTTCTCGTTTCTAACAACAATGGCATATTCAATCTTTACTTTCTTGTCCAATGCATACCCATCTTCGGCCAGTGTTGTTAACTTAGTAATATTTAATAATCTAAAATTGCTGTCTTGAGAAGCAAAAGCCTTTCTAGAAGTCAAATGTTCTTTTGTCAAACGTTTTTTTAAGTCAAAGGTTCTTCAGTCAAATATTTTTAGAAATCAAATGCTCTTTAGTTAGAGGTTCTTAGAAGTCAAATGTTCTTCGAACGTCATTCTTAAAAATCAAAAGTTATTTAATCAAATGTTCTTAGAACGTTATTCTTAGAAGTCAAAAGTTCTTTAGTCAATTGTTGAGAACCAGCTGCCTAAGACAACTGCTCCAAACTTAGCTTAGAAAATACACATATAGTCATATATTGAAGCAAAGTGCCTAAAATCTTTGCAGTCTACAATTTTAAATTGCTTCATTTAAATTTATATTTATGTTCTGAAAATATCATATTAGAGTTTTGCATAGTTAATGGTTGATGTTGGTGATCTTGTTAATCCTCGTTTCAAAAGACAGTGGAGGATTCGTATTTTCCTCATATTGCACTTTCACCAAGCATGTTTTACTTATTAATAATCTGAAATTTATCTTTATAGGAGGAAAAACATTCTTGGAAGTTTCATCCAGATAATGGCCTACACATATCTTCGCTCGAGAGACATTTTATCACACCCATAATCAATCAAAAACATTTTGCAGTCTACCATGTTAAATTTCTTTATTCAAAAGTGGATCATAATAAGATATATGTGGGACCTGAAGAAATGTCCCGGAATATTTTTCAAATCAGGTACAGACAGTAGACGAGAGTGAAGGGGGGGAGGGTGCTAATTGGAAATTGCTATAGTGAGAAATGTGGAATGTTTCTATAAAGAAGTATAAAGATATTACTACCAAAATGAAGTATTAATAAAAACTGAGATGGGAAATAATTTTAAACGGGGAGGGGGGTGAATGCATTATAATTCAATAACAACTCCTTTTTTTGGCAAGTAATAAATACTAATTTATTATTTATATAAATATGAAAGTAAATACAAATAAAGCTAAATATGCTGTATTTTAAAGACATGAGACTAATTCATTGCTGCATTTATAATAATGTCAGCAAATATTATACGTAATATAATAGGCTTAAGAATAATCAGGCAAAATATAGTCAGGTATTTAATAACAGCTAACAGTACCTAATAATCAGGTATCTAGTCTCAACCTAAACATAACAGGCAAAAATGAAGGTGACTTCTATTTGTTTTTCACTATTCTATTATGTTATGAGGCTGGCTTGTTTATAAATATAGTATATTTGGCAACCGAATTTTATCCTAACGATTTTGATTAGCTTTTTTTTTTATAGAAGAATGAATCTGATAGGAATGATCAAAAATCACAGTCCACAGAATTTTCAGGAGCATCTTCCATGAAATATTTGAAATTCAGGGGTTTTATTGAATCCCAAGCACCCCAATAAATATGTTTCTTTTGGAGAAAATTTGAATCAATTTTTAAATTATCCTAATTTAATCTATTTTGAAAAAAAATATCCTATTGAATCCATTTTGAAAAATAATGATCATATTTAATCAAGTTTGAAAAAAAAAAAAAAAAAAAAAAAAAAAAAAAAAACGCTTAACGTATTTAATCCATTTTGAAAAAACAAACAAACCATCAAACTATTTAATCCATTTTGAAACAAAAAATGATCTTATTTAATCCATTTTGAAAAAAAAAAATCTATTTAATCCATTGTGAAAAAAAATATATTAGATTATTAGATATAATATATTATGTAATTTTTAAAGATGTTCTTTAATTATTAAAGGATGAAAATATATAAGACATTTAAAAAAAAATAAGTATTTCCCTTGAACCTAAAAATTGTAAATCATTATCTTGGTAACTATTATATACAAATGTCACGTGCAAAGTGCTTGAATAATATATTAATTGGAATACAGGCCAATGTATTGACAATATATTTGAACTTATTTAAAATTGAAAATGCAGCTGTAATAGAAGTGAAATATAATAAATATATGAATAATGTTTGCTTTTAAAACAAAGTTAATAAGAAAGAAACAGTTGCATGTAAACAAAATATTTTTTTCATAAATTCTAAAGTGAGTCATAAATTATTCTAAAAAGTATATTGAACGGGACAGAGAGAGTTTATATCTTAGAAATGCATATGTTTAAAAAGCAATAGCAAGAATCATATATGAAAAAAAAAATAAAAATACCTAGAAGTGAAATCTAGAATGTTATGCATTTTAAAATGTTTCTTCCGAAAACAAATCTCTAAGCAAATGCAGAATTAAATTATTATTTTATTTTTATTCCAGGAATACACTAAGGGCTCCTGGGTTTTTCTTGCTCATGAAAAGGAAAATACTGCCTCCACGTATCAAAAGTAGCTTATTATTTCAGGTATTTTTCGAAAAAGGTCTTACTTTTAAAGAAAATACTCCCCTTCCCCCAAAAGTAATGCATGACAACCATGATACGAACAGTGATTCGAAATTTTAACTAAAAACCCCGGAAAATAAACTTCCGGATTCTGAGATAAGTTTGTTTGTCAAGTGTACATTATCTTACATTAGATGCAGTTGAGCATGGTTTATGCATAAAATAAACCGTACGTTAAACTTGGCAGATAGTTCTGAAAGCTTGGAAGAATTTCTTTGCCTAATAATTTCTATTTTAACTTCTTTAAATACGATTTTTGAGATTTAAAAACTAATGTTGCATAAATATTTGATTTAATGCTTTCTGAAATCTGCGGAAAAGTATAGGTTTTTTTTTTGGAATTTTACTCTCTAAATCGTTTCTTTAAAATAAATCATGTAGTTTGAATAAAGTGGCATAATTTCCTACCTTATATTTTTTATCTCTACAAATAAAAATAAAAAAAAGGCTCTTTTTAAATTTTGTTATATATTTTTTGCAACAAAACATCTAGGAAATTATAAAAATTTGATTCTGTTTTCATTTTTTTATGTCATTTTAAGTGGTTGAAGGTTTAAATATTTACATTTGTCCTATTTTTTAAATCTTCAAATTAATTCGATAAGAAAATAAATACGTTCGTAAAAATATTATAAAAGCAAAATATTTCAATTTTTTCCAACTCTAAGTCCTTTTCATTTATTTATAAATGCTTCTTAATAATTTCTTATAACGTTATTTAAAATAAAGGATATGGTTATATAAATGTATTCTTCGAAAAAATGTTATATCGAAGAAGATGAAGATTAGAAGTTAATGTAGTTAATATCGTTACCGCAAGAATATGCTTCTTCAAAAAGAACAAAAATGCACAAAATAATTAAGCTGAATTAAATGCATCATTTTAGCGCTGAATTTAAATATTAGCTCATTTCTCATGTATCATAATATAAATTTTAACTGCTTTATAGAGTCATCGTATGCATCTATCACTAAGAAGTACCAGTTTACGTAGTACCTCGAAGAAATACTTTGTTACATCTCGGAACATACCAGACCTATAACGGCTTCAAGAAGACGTAAATCTTCAGGTTCATAGGAAAAAATATTAGATATATATATATATCTATATATAACTATATTTACAAATAAATGAAAAATAAGGATATAAATTAGATATACAATTGCAGTTCACTTCAAGGTTGGAGATTTTCAGAGTTCTCGAGTCTACGACGAATCTAAAACACCCATTCTGCGACAGACCTTAATTATCACATGCCATGATATACGAAACCACAAGGAGCTCACATTAAAAAAACAAGTCTAAAAACTCCGGCCTATTCAATTACTTCAGAGAAGACAACACTTCGTATCGTATCATCGCAGAACTCTCTTTTCTTCTCCAAAAAACTCCCTTTAAGAAAATCCATCGAGAAGGGATGGGATTTCAGCTTCCCTTATTTTCTTTGGAGTAGACACTTTTTCAGCCTATGGTCTATCACCAATAACGATGCAGCAACTCATGGTGTAGTCCATATTTATTCTGTAGTTGATTTGACCTATGATGGCCGAACAGACAATTGCTAATTTCGTAAGGTCTCAATATCCAAGACACTGATTATCTGCTATCAAATTTGAGGGACAGTTTTTCTCATTAGTATAAAATACCAATTGAATATATTATAAATATCCACAACACTGCTTATCTGTTGTCAAATTTGAGTGATAGGTTGTTATTATGAACTTGTTAAAGAATATATATTCATCTCTCTCATGGGAACGTAATTCTACAACTCTTCTCGTAGAAAAAATGCTATGAGCTCTATACTCAAAAGGCTTAGCATCATCATTTTTTTACAAAATTTCAGAATCATTCAATGTGTAACTCGACAAGGAAATTTTAACTACTATTTAAATATATTTGAACTTTTTTTAACTGATTTTTGCAATTGAAATGTAGGTGGAATATAAAATATCGATCACATTGTTCTTAGCCGCTTTAGGCTTGAGCATCCTTGAAATATTTTAAGGAAAAAAAAAAAAAACTAACACTCTAAAAGGTAAAATTGCCACCAAACGTTTGCCAACTGACTAAAAAGAAACTTTATTTTACAGCCTTCTGTAAATTTGCTAATTCTTGTTCTGATGTTTTTTAAATTGCTTCTCTACTAACTCTTTTATTTAATTTCTCCTTTATAATCCCATGTGTACTTTTTAAGTTGATCATTTATTAGATTTTTTTTCATTATATTTTAATTGGTTCATTTATTTCTGTAAGCCTTGTATGATACTTTGTGCTACTCCATGTTTTATTATATACCACAATAAAAAAACACTAATATACTTAAATTAAAATCCATATCATCTTTGAAATAGAATAATTATTATTAGATCACCGAAGTCAAGCATCATTGGGCACGGTCGTTACTTGGGTGGGTGACCAACTGGGAACACCGCGTGCCGTTGGCATTCACAAATTTGGGACCTGAATGGCCAGAGTGTCTAGCGCTCTGGCGCTCGGTGCCACAGGTTTCGGGTTCGAGTTCCGGAGGTGCCATGGATGTTTGTAGTGGTTCGGAATCCACTTTAATCCGTAGGTCCCGGTCTCCTATGACTGTAAGAGCGTAACGGAGACAAAGTCAGACTTCTACCTACGGGTGCTCCATCACAACAGAAGCTGCTTCCTTCCTCTTCAATCATGAGTACGTATGGGCTCGTGGGCTTGGCCAGCCAAGTGGGATAAGAAACAACAAAACAACAACAACAACATAATTATTATATGAAGGTATAATAATTTAATAAGTACTATTTAATACGACCGTAGATAATTTCCTTTTCTTGGAAATTCTTAAGAAAAGTTCGAAATTGTATCCATCGTTTCACTTTTGTTCTTTTAATGGATATTTTTATTTATTCTCTTTTAATTCTATCTTTTTTTTTTTAGAAACTGATACATCCACTAATAGAGTGTTACAAAAAATACTAAAAATACCAATCTCTAAATTGAATAAAAATGATAGTGTTATAGATTTCACTGCAGTTTAAAAATACTGCAATGCATTGACGGAAACTGTCCCAATATTAAATTACATGTGATAAAGGTTATGGTGTCAATTAGACATAAATAACTGTTATTAAATTATATAAAAGGTTGAAACAGTGAAGTTGGAAAAGTAAGTTGCTGTTAAAGCAAAATCTGAAACCCTTATTTCTTACTTTCTTAATCTATTTGTTAGCTTTCAGATGAGTAAGGTGAAAAAAAAAGACGAAAAGAGAAAAACAAACACAATTGTTCAAATTTCTTTTCAATTAAATATAAATAAATAGAAAATGTGTAGAAACGTAAGAAAGAATGTAAAATTAGTTTTTATTTATTTTTTTACAAATACAAGTGGATTTACATTTATTTAAGATGTTTAGTTTTTTTTTAATAATCTTAAGATGAAAAATTGAACGATATTCTTTAAATTGTAAGCAAAATCAAGTATATTTATTAGAAATGTGAAATACTGCCTCACATAAAAGTTTTAATTTCAAGTATTATCCGTTATCTACATCGTATGATTACAATTACTTTTTTTAATCACGTTAAAGACTGGGTCGTATTGGCTATTTCCTTGTGAGCAGACCAATATAAACAAGCCTTGAAGAAGGTATGTCGTGTGGGCTACACTGACGAACGCTGTTACTCATTTAGCACTACCAAAAGTGGGCACGTGTAGCTTTAAGATATGCTACGGACGCGAAAAACACTCTCCCCACAGCACTCTACAATCATATTAGACTGTTATCTACGGTTTAAAGTGGATTATGAACCACTGCAAACATCCATGGCAACGCCGAGGCTCGAGCCTGAAATCTGTGGTACCCAGCGGCAGAGAGTTATCCACTCGGTCGTTAGACCCAAAGAAGTTATGATTATTAATTTATTTATTTTCGATTTTTGTGATGTTAAAGAATTTAATTATGAGACGCTGTTTAATATGTATCATATTTCTGACAGAATGTTAAAGTTTCATATTATGCAAAAAGTACATACGTAAATTTATAACATTTCTGATAACATATTAGTGAGATCATTAATGAAAAAAACGTTATTTTTTTTAACTATCAGATAGTAATTCGAAATATCAGCTTATCAGTTTAGAAAAAGATCCTTAAAAACATTAATTAATTTCATCAATATGGCAAATAGTTATGACTATATTAACATTCAATTTAAAATATTTTGCATTAAATTAAAAATGTTAATTTCAAACGTAAATACAACTAAAAATTTAATTTTATGTAATGTTTAATTTGTTTAACATGATCTGTTTTAATCTTTTAAATACGACAGTATATTAATATTTTTTAATTTTTTTATTCATTTTATAGAAAAGATATATATATATATATATATATATATATATATATATATATATATATATAGACAAGTTTCAGTAGTCAACTTCATTTCAATCAGAAGCAATAAATATTTAAGACATTTTTTGATAATAAGAATAGAAAAAATTCAAGAATATTATGTTAATGACATACAAAATTTATATTAAAAGTTTCCGAAAAATTTCATTCTTGTCTTGTATAAAATATTTTACATGATGAATTTGTATTATTATAAACTCTACATAAGAAAAATTTGTTTATACACCGTAAATTTTAAATAAAACCGTGGATTTGAAATATGTCCCTTCAGAATTTCTATTTTTTTACTTGAAAGAAATAAACTTGCCTTTACGAGAAAAGTGTCTTGAAACCAATGGTATTGTTAAGAAGTAAGAAGTACAGTTACAGTTTGCAATAAATCAAAAGAACTGTCTGTTCTTCAACTGTTTGGTATTGCTGAGGAAGAAGAGATATCCTTTATTTGATGTCCCAGCAGACGATATACTAGCACTGAAATAGAAATCCCCCCTTGGATAGTTTTAGAAACAAACATTTTATTCTAGAAACAGTCAGTACGCTTTAAAGTCCAACGCTCGGGAAGTGTTGTTTAGAAGCAGTTGAAATATTTTGGTTATGTTTAAATAATTTATAAACTCTAATTTAAGTTATATATAATAACAACAATAAAGTATTTTATATCGTGTGAAATATTTTTTTAATTTTTTTTTAAACTCAAAAATAATAATAATAATAATAATAGCAATTTGAAGGAATTTTACAAATGTTTTCATTAGATGTTTTCCATATAAATAGAAATCTTTCTTTGGATAGTTTTAGAAAAAAACATTTTATTTTAGAAACTGTCAGTACGAGTTAAAATCCAACGCTCAGGAAGTGTTGTTTAGAATCAATTGAAATAGTTTGGCTATGTTTAAATAATCTATAAAATATAATTTAAGTTATATACACAGAAGTGACAAAAGTCATGGGATAGCAATATGCAAATTTTCAGATGGCAGTAGCATCGCGTAGAACAGGTATAAATGCGCAGTGCTTTCGCAGAGCTTTCATTTCTGTTCAAGTTATTCATATGAAGAGGTTTTGACGTGATGATGACCGCACGACGGGAATTAACAGACTTTGAACGCGGAATGTTAGTTGGAGCTAGACGCAAGGGTCACGCCATTTCGGAAATCGTTAGGGAATTCAACATTCCCAGATCCACTGTGTCAAGAGTGTGTCGAGAGTATGAAATTTCAGGCATAACATCCCACCATGGACAGCGCAGTGGTCGACCGCCTGCACTTAACGACCGAGACCGGCGACGTCTGCAAAGAGTCGTAAATTCTAACAGACAAGCAACACTGCGTCAATAACCGCAGAAATCAATGTGGGACGTACAAGGGACTTGTATGTTAGAACTGTGCGGAGAAATTTGGCTTTCTTGGGCTATTCCAGCAGAAGACCGACTCGAGTGCCTTTACTGACAGAACGACATCGCTTGCAGCGACTCTCGTGGGCACGTGAGCATATCGGTTGGTCCCTAGATGAATGGAAAACCGTGGCCTGGTCCGATGAGTCACGATTTCAGTTGGTAAGAGCTGATGGTAGGGTTCGAGTGTGGCGCAGACCGCACGAAGCCATGGACCCAAACTGTCAGCAAGGCACTGTTCAAGCTGGTGGTGGCTCCGTAATGGTGTGGGCTGTTTTTTCATGGCATGGACTTGGTCCTCTGGTGCGACTGGACCGAACATTGACTGGAAATGCTTATGTTCAGCTACTTGGAGATCACTTGCAGCCATTCATGGACTTCACGTACCCAAACAACGATGGGATTTTTATGGATGACAATGTGCCATGTCACCGGGCCACAACTGTTCGCGATTGGTTTGAAGAACATTCTGGACAATTCCAACGAATGATCTGGCCACCTAGATCGCCCGACATAAATCCCATCGAGCATTTATGGGACATCATCGAGAGGTCTGTTCGTGCCCAAAATCCTGCACCATCAACGCTTTCACAATTATTGACGTCTATCGAGACAGCATGGCTCAATATTCCTGCAGAAGACGTCCAACGACTTGTTGAGTCCATGCCACGTCGAGGTGCTGCACTTCGCCGGGCGAAAGGAGGGCCGACACGATATTAAGAGGTATCCCATGACTTTTGTCACTTCAGTGTATAATAAGAATAATGAAGTATTTCATTCCTTAAAAATTTATACCATGCAAAATATATTATTTTTTCTTTTTTAAAATTCGAAGCAATAATTAAATAAATAAATAATTTGAAGGAATTTTTTAAATGTTTTCATTAGATGTTTTAAATTGGCAATCACAAATCATTGCGGGGCTCACTGATAGGGCCGATCGACCGATGGGCCTGATGGCCGAGTGACCAACGCTAGTCGGTACAACAGGTTTCAGATCCCGGTGGTACCATGGATATTTGTAGTAGTTCGGAATCCACTTTAAACCGTAGGTAGCGGTCTAATATTACCGTAGAGTGTTGGGCGTAGGGTTATCAACCCTACACGGTAAAAAAACATCTGTCTAAAACTCTGCCAGTGAACAGAGAGCCTTTGGCCACCATGAGTCTGTGGCTTTAATAATGATGATGATGATAGACTGATTGACGTTAAGAGCGACAGGCGTCGGTTCGAATTGGGGCTTATGATGGCCAAGAGACTAGCGCTCGGTGCCACAGAGTTCGTGTCCCGACGGTGCCAAGGATGTCATAATGAATCATAATCTACTTTAATCTGTAAGTGCCATTCTAATATGACTGTAGATCGTTTGGCGCTGGGCTGAGAAGCCTACTAGTAAAATAAAACATTGTCTCAAAATCTGCAGTTCGGCAGACACCCTTGCCTCACAATGGGGCTGCTTCGCAAATGAGGAAGAAGAAAATATATACTGACTAGCTAGAGCATGAAGAATAAAAAAATTACAAGAGTTAATAAGCACCAAATTGATAAATTAAGTTATATTAAAATAATTAGAACAATGCAATTAATATGTTCGCTGTCTAACAAGAAACCAAATATTATATTCTGTTTTAATTTATTCTTTAAATC